AGATGGCAAGGGACTGGTTGCCTGTCCCAAGAGTTGACCGAACCTGCTGAAGTGATGAGGGCTGTGAGTTTACTCTCTAAGGATGGCTTCAGGGAAGGAGAAAGAGAATCAGAGACATCACTAGACCATTCTTTGTGTGATCCTGGAAGCTGTGGGATCCTCGCTCCTCTTTTCCACCACCATCTTAGATGACAGAAAAACCAGAAGTGACATGGTGGCCAGGGTGACTGTCCTAGGCCAGGATCCGAATCTGCATGCAGAAACACGGGGCCCCCTACCTGGAGTCCTCTGCACCCTCCAAGTGTCCCCACTTAGTCTGTCTTCTCTGGGTGGCCTTCCGTTGAGTCCCTCCTTGGCATCCTCCCTCCTCCCCACTTGCTCCCAGGGAAAAACAGAATCAGGTTAATTCATTCATTAACTGTAGGAACCACACTTCCTCCTTCCCTCCCTGCAGGGTTACTCTGGCTCCTGTGTCCCCTCCCATTGGATCTCTTCCTGTCCCAATCCCTTGTCCATGTTGTAGTTCAGGCAAGATACGCATCAAGGGACAAACTGGCCTCCTCACCATCCTTTCATGCCAATTCCAGGTTTCTTCTCACTCCGAGGGCCTCTGCGCCTTCAGTTGTCTCTGCAGCACAGTGCTGGCCACCCAGCACATGAGGGAGGCCTGGCAGGGTCCTCATGCTAGACCCCTGCCTTATGTTTCTCTTGACTCAGAGCTTTCATAGCCACCGGCCACCCCTGTCCCTTCCTCACGAGGCTAATGGTATTGGTGTCTTGCCTCCTCCTAGCATACTGTGAGCTGTGTCCCCTGTGTGCCAGCATGGGGGCCCTTCCCAGGTGGGTGCTCCAGGGTGGGCCGCAGCTCTTTCTCCTCCAGGAGAAACATGGTGCCTGCCGTGTTTCTGTCTGGTCACACCTACACAAATTTGTAAAAAATTCAAAGTCTTTTTCACTTAGGGGAGAGAAGCTGACATCTAGACTTTTTTCTCCAATGTTTTCAAGTAGTTGGACTAAGCATTTATTCATTCTTCTTCTATCCTTTCCTTCCTCTCCATGTTTGTCAAAGGCAGACCAGGTCCTAGCTGGCACTCTAAGTTGGGAGGGTATTTACTCATAACTGCCCCCTCCCAGGATGGGTTAGTTTGCTGGGAACTGTGGCTCGGCTGTTACTCAGCACTGACTTCTTGTGGTCCAGAGAGCTGCTTGCTGCCTGATGATATCAGCAGGTGCCAATAATATCCATAAGGGACCAACCACAGTGCAGGCCCTGGCAGCTATTGATTTAGCCACCTCCTGTGGCAGCCCCTAACCTCACTCAAGATCCCTTAAGCCCCCTGGTGCCAGTGGAAACTCAGCATCTTCAAGGGACATAAAGGCTGGTCACTCAAAAATGGCAAAACCACATACAACTAGGAGTCAGGGTGTGGGACAAGGACACTGGCCCCACTCAGGGGTGGGAGAGAAGGCAGTTTCTGATGGGCTTCCTCTAGGCTAGATGTGCATTCTCTTCCTGTCTCCGCCCATGGCACTCACCAGTCCTGTGCACGGCCCAAGGCCCATGGCTCTGTGTTGTCCTGCTGGGCACGTGCCTCGGAACCTGGCCGTGTTCTCCTTCCTGCTTTCCCTTCCTGAACCGCGTGAGGGTCACTATGATTGCCTTGGCTCAGACAGTGCCGTGTCGACCCTGCCGATACCTGGCCTCGCTGTCCTGTGTCCTAAGCTGATGTTCATATTGTGTGCACTGCCAGGAAGCACATGCTCAGGGTAGGAGGCTCTCTGGCAGCTCCAACTAGCTTGCCACATCCTCATCACCTTGGTCTTCTTTCACCTGAATCCATCAGTTCCAAGCAAAAGACTCCCAGGTCCTTCTGGGAGATGGACCCCAAAAGAAGGCCAGAACCCCCTGCACCCCACCCATTGTGGTCTACTTCACTAGGCTTCCCAAGACACCAATCACAAGGACCGGTGCACTGAATCACTCCCTGTGTCAGGGCAGTGCCAGCGTCTCCACTGGAGCCTTGCTCTCACCTAGCCGAGTGCCGGGTGGCCTGGAATGAACCAAGTGCATCAATGACTTGTTCTAGTCTTTATGACTCATCCTGGGGAAGGGGAGTTATTGTTGCTGTGACTCGTTTCTGGAGAGAGGAAGGTGTGGGAGACAGGAAGAGGGAGACAGTCCAAAGGACTTTGCTTCTAAGGTCTTCAAAGGCCCTTTAGTTCAAAGTGCTCAGCACGCCAAGATGCCATACCTGGAGGCTTCACACTCTAACCCCAACAGAACTTTGACCCTGGCTCTCCCTGCTCTTGGGCCTCCAGGAACCAGATGTATATACCCACAGGCCAGAGGCTATCCAACCATGACCTGTGGGCCAAGTCTACTCCATTCCAGTTTTGCAAGTAAAGTCTCATTGCAACTTGATCTCACATGTTTGTTGTCTGTGGCTGCTTTCGAGCTACAACAGCAGAGCTGAGTGGTTGCAGCAGACACCATCTGGCCAACAGAGCCAAAAAATGCTTAGTGTCTTAATGCAGAGAAAACCTTGCAGAGAAAGCTTGCCAACCTCTGCTCAGGAGAAAGCTAGGTGTCCCCAGAGGATACTCAGTTCCCTCATGCTGAACTCCAGTGAAAAGATGGACAAGCTTCCTTGTGACTTGACCATGAAGCTCAGCCATGGAACCCATCCACATGCACACCAGGCCTCCACACAGGTTCCAGGGCCTCGCTCTTAAAAACAAAGGGATGTCCAGAGATCTTCCAGACACTCAAGGAAGGAGCTATGAACAAGGCCAGTTAAAATAAACAAGCAGAGAAAAGGAACCTGAAGGAACCAAAAACAAATCAACAAATAGAAGAAACTTACAACACAAATGTAGAATTAACATTATCTGAGAAAGGAAAAGATATTTCATCCATAAAGCAAGAGCTAGATACTGTGATAGCCAAAAGTAAACTCTGGAAATTTAAGAAAGTGACAACTCACAACAACAATAAAAAAATCAATAAATGGGAAGAAAGTCAAACAAAATGACAAGGAGGTGAAAAATGGGAAGCAAAGTTAGATGAACAGTTCAGGGTGTCCAATATTTCACCAACAAAATATATAAGAAGAAAACAAAGGAAATAAAGGGCATGAAATTAGTGAAGAAATAATATATGATTTCTGAGAACTGTCTTTTTATCTCTTGCACACTGTGTCCAGAACGGCGACTATAAGCAGCCATGAAGGGCCATTATGAGATTCCAAAGCATTCCAACAATAAGGAGACTCATGTTGACAGAGAAGAGAAACTGAACAAAAGAACAATAATAAGAATGGATCCAGACTTCTCAATAGTAACACTGGAAGAAAAAAAAAAAAGAAGTGGAATGATGCCACCAAAAGTCTAAAGGAAAAGGGTTTTTAACCCAGTATTCTATGCTCAGAGCTATCAGTCAAATATTAAGAGAAAAATGAAAGCATTTTTAGACCTTCAAGGACTCTCACACCCTTCCTTAGGAAACAACTGAAGAATTTGCTTCCACACAACCAGGGGTAAAACCCAGAAACAGAGTGGAGACCAGGAAGCGAGGGCTTACACACAGAAGTGAGAGGCGTCCCAGCACAGTGATTTTGCCTCAAGTCTACAGAGCAGACAGTCCAGATCGGATCAAGAAGGTTAAAGACTTTGGAGGAGAAGACCTCTGGGAGATAGGGACAGAGCTGATCAATTATTTAATATGTTTTAGATGAGGAGAAATTTTTGTTGGACATCTTGTTAAAACACTTGAAAATAGTATGCTACTTAACTGAACAGCAGACCATTTAAAAAAAATTTTGTTTTTTTGAGTTGGAGTCTCACTCTGTCACCCAGACTGGAGTGCAGTGGCCGCT